CGGGCCCACCTCTCCAGCCTGTCAAGGTCAAGTACTGTGAAGTACTCCTCACTAAAGGTATGGTGTGGCTCTGAGCAGCACTGCTGCCAAAAGACAACATATCTCTGGTGACCAAAATGGGGCTAACATGGCTGCTGCAGAGTCCCCAAAATTGGTGGCTACAGTGACTTCAGCCAGCTTTTCCTCTCTCATGGCCCATCATCTATCTTGGCTTTTGTGCTACATCAGCCTCAGAGAGAGTAAAGGATTCCACCGTAAGCCCATCTTGAATTCATGTCAATTCAGATGATTTCAGTCTTCCTCCAGACTTTGTATACAAATATGAGATTATTAATTCAATGGCTAGAAACTGTCTGTTCTCCTTTGCTTAGTTTCCTAACAAACACAGACATTATCGGTGTTTTCCACTGAAGGGACAAAATCATTGCAAAATTTCAAAATTATTAATCAAGTAAAAAATTATTTGAGAATAGTTCTACTGAGATTATTCCTCCTTAACCAGGATTATGAAATCTTTCAAGTGAGTAGTGGCTTACAATTAGACATTTTTCATTGCAAATACATTTCTGTTCCTTTTTGCTCCAAGTAAAAACCAGACACCTACCGGATCCTTCATACCACCACCATCCTTGCCCAGGCCTTCGCCTTTCTTCCATCCCATCTTCTCCAACATTTTATGTCCTTTGTTGCTGTTGCTGATTTCACTTTGAATAAAGTTTAAGATCACTGATAAGCAAGAGTTAACACAAAGAATATGCTCTCTACTCAAATACTGAAGGACGGAAATGTGCACACGTATGCTGCTCTAGAAACCGGAACTACTATGGTGTTCCTACTTCCATGAAGAGCAATGCAGAAGACCCTAGTGCTACCTTCTGCAAGTTCTTCCATGAATATCTTTGCTTACCAAAGCCATTCCAAGCCTCTGGTCAATACCAACTTTCTTAAAACTCCTTCTGAACTACATGCTTACTTTCAGATTTAAAAGATACAGCATGGATAGGTGGGAATTGACTACACTAGGGAAAAGGCGGTATCACTGCCTCACCACCAAATCATCCTCATGCACATATTTCATTGGCTCAAGCATTTGGCTCACACTTTCTTTTAGTAACAAGCACCTACAAGTTCATGTTTTTTTAAAGAAACACCTCAAAAAGCAACTACAGAAGCAAAGGAATGATTAAAGAGGAAGATTAAAGTGTCATTTAAGAGTTATGTAAATGCATGTCCTATGATAGGCTGAAACTGCAGGTGAAGAATTTTCACGTGTATTATTACTGGAACTGGATAGGAAAAGTAGAAATTAAGACATTTGAAAAAAAATCAGCACTATTGAAAGGTGTCAGTACTGCAGCCGGGGAGTTCCTTGATTTTTTGAGTTGGTAAGAAAGTGATGCAATATAAGCATCCTTACTGCTAAGCTGAATTCTGTATGGAAGGTGAGGAGCTAATAAAGAGAGCATAAGAACTGGAAAGTGAGAACAGCGTACTATTTTCTAGCTCTCCTAACACATTATATACATGTAATTAATAATCTAACAAAATGTATCCTAGTAAGTAATTGATACTGAATTTATAATCAGTTTTTAAGATTCGGTAGAGAAGAATACAGAGTATTCTCCCCCCACCCCTGCCCCCAACTTACATATGAACAGAAGCTGGACTATCATCTCTCTGGAAGGTTCCTTCACTTCCAAAGGTCTCTCTGCGTTTTCCTGCTCTATCTTTGTACTTTGGATTCTTCACTGCTTTGTTGTCTTCATACTCTGTGTTCTTTATAAGCAGATTAAGGCAAAGAAAGCAGGCGTTAAAAGTCTTCGTTTTTGATAACTTCACTGCTTCCCTCCAAAAGTAAGGCAGCTTCAGCCTATTTCATTAATTCCAAATCTTCTAACATAAAACTATAGTTCTCATTTAGTAATTTCTTACCTTAGAGACATACTTTGTAAGATATGCTATTGCCATCATCACATAATACTGTAATATTGCCAAATTCATTAACTTCACAGAGACTGTAAATAAATGAACATGTTCTCTTGGTATAAAGAATCAATTTCTCCATATTAGCAGAAAACCGTATGGACATGCCACCGGCTTTTTGTTTAAACATTTAGCCTGTTCTCAGCCACTATTTCTTCAGAATAGATGACAGAACTAAGCACGTGTATGGATTCTGTATTGATATTATTTTGGTAACTGAAGAATTTGAGAGAGACAATACCATTCTGTTTTCTACATCAATACTTATTACAAGCGCTAGATGTAACCCCATAGTGAAAATAATCTCCAAAATAGAAGTAACGTGAATACTTATATACTGTATCGCCTGTACATTCTTGTTGGCATTCTTCTATGGCAAAGCAGACTTTAAAAAAAAATTTCCTTCTTCCTTCCATCATTTTTTCAGTTGCTCATTATTTTTCCTTTCCAAATAAAAGACAGCACTGGAATTTAGTGCAAACTTAATTTGAAGAAATAGAAATAGAAATGTCCTAAGAAATCTTAATCTCAAAACGATGAGGAATCTTGTACATTGGAACAGATCTTATTTTCCTAAATGTTTAACAGAACTTGCATGCCCTGTTACCATCATCTCTTCTCTGTAGAGGTTTGTAAATAATTATTATTTAGCATATAAAAGACAAGCTTGAGTTAAACTACCAGGCTCAAGTTTGAGTGCATTTGAAAACTTTCCTTATTCACTGAAGTCTATGGCTTAAAATAGGAATCAGAAAGTAGATGTAGACTTCACTTAAATCAACTTCTGCTGAAACTCACCTGTAAACCATATTTTACCCGTATTTGTTTTAATGCTTTTCTTCTGACTAACTCTCTCTCTTCTTTGCTAAGCGCTGGGCAAACTAAAAGAAAGAACAACAAAGACTGAATTTCTAATTAATAATGTAACCATGTGAAATATAAATCAACTGTGAGAAATCTTGTTCTAACATTACTACACACAGACACACATACCAAGAAGAAAATACATCATCATGTACGGCAGAACTATTCTCAGCTGACAAGAGAATTTTAAGAAAATTCAAGTAATTACTATGTTTAGAAAGTAAAGAGCTATAATTAAAAAACATATCCCAAGATAACATGACTAACCAGAAGATTCCTTTTTCCTGTCCAGGCGAAGATGTGCTCTGACCTGTCCTGGTTCACATCCATCGCAAGTATCACTGCCAGGATGTATATGAAAAGAAAGCACAGTTTCACCAATCTTCACTTCATCTCCATGCTCCAAGATGTAGGGATCACATTTTATTTTAGGCTACAACAAAAGAAAGTTTTGGCAGCCATGTTAATTAGTTACTAATGAAGGGCACCACCTTAATTTCATTAATGCTGCTCATAATTTAGCAATTCAGTTCGGCCTCACAAATGCAGGCAAGCATTTAACTACAGTGGGTATTTCACTCTAGCAACTGCAACAGTAGTGGATTTTTCCTAATATAAACCAAACATTAAGTATTCTAAGTGGCACTAAAACCAGAAGGGAACCAAGGAAGACACTGATGTATGAAAGAAGCCACATAATGACGTCAGGGATTTGCCATAACATATTTAAGGCACATAGAAAATAAGGAGGTGATTGGTGACAGCCAACATGGCTTCACTAAGGGCAAATCCTGCCTGACTAATTTGGTGGCCTTCGGTGATGAGGTTACAGCATTGATGAATAAGGGAAGAGCAACTGACATCGTCTGCCTGGACTTATCGAAGCATCTGATACTGTCACACGACATCCTTGTCTCCAAACTGGAGAGATATGGATTTGATGGATGGACCACTCGGTAGATAAGGAATTGGCTGGATGGTCACACTCAAAGAGTTGTGGTCAACAGTTCAATGTCCACGTGGAGGCCAGTGACGAGTGGTGTTCCTCAGGGGTCAGTACTGGGACCAGTGCTATTTAACATCTTTGCCAGGGACATGGACAGTGGGATCGAGTGCACCCTCAGCAAGTTTGCAGATGACACCAAGTTGTGTGGTGTGGTGGACACACTGGAGGGAAGGGATGCCATCGAGAGAGGGACCTTGACAGGCTGGGGAGGTGGGCCTGTGAGAACCTCATGAAGTTCAACAAGGCCAAGTGCAAGGTCCTGCACATGAGTCGGGGCAATCCCAAGCACAAGTACAGGCTGGGTGGAGGATGGATTGAGAGCAGCCCTGAGGAGAAGGACATGGGAGTGCTGGTGGATGAGAAGCTCAACATGAGCTGGCAATGTGCGCTGGCAGCCCAGAAAGCCAACTGTATCCT